TCTCGATTGCTAAGTTCAGCTCCCTCGCTGTAAGCCAGTCGATGACTGTTTTGGAAGCATTTGTTGTGGCCATTTGCACCCTTTTTATGTCTTTAGCCACAACCACCAAAGCGATGTCATCGGCATAACCAATTATTTTAACTCTTTTTAGAATGGGTAGACGCAATACGCCATCGTAGGCTATGATCCACAAAAGTGGGCCAAGAACGGAACCTTGGGGAGGCTTACTTTGCCTCTTTCCGTGTTGTAGCACAAAACTCTATTAGATAGATAACTGTTAATTATATTAATTAAATACTGTATATATGTATGTGTAAAGAGACATATCCCAGCAAACATTTGGAGTCATAAATGAGTCTTTAAGGAGTCCTATTTCGGAGCCATTACGCTCATAATGAGCTCATTTAAGAGTCCGATATGAGGGTGTTTCCCTTCCTCCGAAGGTCGACTTATATGAGCTTAAATTCATACATAAAATGAGCCTCAGTATGAGTCATATCTCTCTTATTTGCCACATATTCGGCTCATTTTTAGCCTCATATATGAATCATTTCAGACTCTTTTTGGGGCTCTTATCGGCCTCATAAATTACTATGTATTTTCGGACTCTTATTTTAGGTTGTTCTTTGAGTCTTATTGAACGCACTATATTTACAAAGGCATTCAGCAAAAATTCCTTTCAGATAACATATATACATTCTTACGTACACATTCCAACATGCAATCTTCATTAGCAGCAGCTGCAGCTAAGTTTTGTTAATTTTTTTGTATTCGAATTATTTTCAATTTCTGTATAAACAAGTTTAGATATAAATTTCAAATATTTATTGTTTTTCTATTGGCACAAGGTGCTGGCTCATAACTTGGGTCATATATGAATCCTAAAAGATGCATATAAGAGTAAACAATTTTTTTGTTTTTGAAACTCATATTTTTTACCTACCTAGGACTCCCTTCGGACTCATATATTCTGAACGCTCAGAATATTATTGCGGGGATGTACATATGGATAAGTCTGTACAGTAAAGTGAATCGTTATACGCAGTTAATTTGTTTTTATTAATCTAGTTATGTTTTTGTTGTACTAAATGTTATTTTAACTGTGTTTTTAAAAAAATTGACATTGAAAACAAGTATTAAAACTCAAAAAAGTGTTTGATAGGTTTTGGTTGGTTATGGTAGGAAATTTTGGTAGGAAAAAAAATTTGTCTGTGGCAACGATGGTAGGAAGTAACAATATTTAAATTTAAAATCAATTTCAGAATGAATTAAGTTGAATTATAGTTATAAGATTAGTAGCCTCATGGCTCTATGGAATCTACCTTATGGGCAGTAGCACCGGCGTTTCCAGACGCGCCGGCGTCGCTGCCGCCGCCGATTCTTTTTTAAGCTGACCATGCCGCCCCCCGCAAAGCCTGTCGACGTAAACCTGTACTGGGCGACAGAAGAAAATAAAATAAATAAAATTTTACTTGTTTCACCGTATTGCGGCATGATATATTTTCATTTAATTTTCGTAAACTGCTGTTGCCATTTGACATTTAGCATTTTGCCCTGACAAAATTATTTAATAACGTTCATGGTTTTTGTGCGAAACAAAGCGCTAATTTTTTTTTTGCTTCGCATTTTCGCATCAAATAATGAACTCTAGTAATGTTTACTTCGTCTTCTTCTTGCAGGTCAAATACTCAATCGTTCAACAGCCAAATCAGAAAGGCACCAAATTCACCGTTGACGAGGAGACCGGCGAGGTGTCCACCAACAAAGTGTTCGATCGCGAAGGTGACGATGGTAAATTCGTTTCGGTCACCGTTAAAGCGACTGACCAAGGTGAACCTAGCTTGGAAGGCGTGTGTTCTTTTACAGTAGAAATTACAGATGTCAACGACAATCCACCACTCTTTGATCGACAAGTGAGAATAGAGTGAAAGTTATTTATTTGCAAATTTGTAAAATTAATTTTTCTGCAACAGAAATATGTCGAGAATGTGAAGCAAGACGCCAGCATCGGCACAAACATACTGCGCGTCTCCGCCTCCGATGAGGATGCCGACAATAACGGAGCCATTGTGTACAGCTTGAGCGCCCCCTTCAATCCCAACGATTTGGAGTATTTCGATATACAGGCTGAGTCGGGTTGGATAGTGTTAAAGAAGCCGCTTGACGTAAGTGCCTCGTTAACCAATTTTTAAGTTTACAACTTGAAATATTTTGCTATTACAGTATATTTTGCTTTGCTGCCTTTGTGTTTAAGTGCACATTTAAGATACCTACCCCAAAATGCGCATCAGCGGCATTATTTTTAACATTACTGATACCTGCCTTAAAAATTTGCAATTATTATCAATTATCAAAGAAAGTATTACGTTTACCTGCACTGGCTCTACACTTACCCTAATTTTACAAGCTATTATTTATTTTGCTCATCTCGCACAACAACGAAAATGGCAATTATTATATGTAGTTATATAGATAATTAGATACCATTCGGAAAAAATTTCTCTTGCAGTAATTTCTACGTGGTAAGTGCTCCTCCATTATTTGGTTTCATAGGGATTCGGATACCTTCCTCATTGAAGTAGTAAAGAAAATTCGCTTAAGTGCTTTTTTCGGTTAAGCGCACAAGTTTTTCGTGCAAAGAAGAATGGGCAGCTAAGCAAAATATACTGTATTTAGCATTTTGTTAAACAGCTCAAAAAATTTTTAATTTGCTTAGACTAACAAAAGAACACATATATAGTTATGGTTTATGTGAGTTTTTGACTTAATTTATATATTTTAATTTGAACTCCTTTTTGTGTTTACTAACCATTACGCAAACTAGTGCGATTGACTAAAAAACAAAAGAATATCTTAATGCTACCTCAATTTGTCGTTTCGTTAAATAACGTCAAAAGAAATATGGAATAGTCAGTTAAAGGGAGAATTAAATCAAAAATCTTTTCTATATTCGTGTTTGAAAAAAACTTTTAATGTTTTTATTTTTGAAACGTATTGTGATTTCCGAACGAAATTAGTCAATTGGTTTAATTGTTTGAGTTTCAAAGTTTTAGTTGAATTTCGTTTCCTTAAAATGCACCATCTTTCGTTCAATTCAATGTAGAGTATTTAGTTTTTCGATAAAAATATGGAAATTCGTGGTTTTTGTTGTTTTAAACCTTTTATTTTACTTTGATTCTCGTAGTACGAACACACTTGAACGTAAAATAAAAGCAAATTGAAAATGCATTCGAATAAATACACATGCAGTGCAAATTATTTTGAACAATATTTAAAGTGTCGAAAATAACTTATCAGCTAAGCTTTGACGAAAAATGTGTACACCAAAATTATAAAGGATAAACAGTTTTTGGAAAACGTGGCAATACGTAAACTCGTTTAAAATTTTTGTTTAGTTTATAGAGTCCTTATTTGCAAAAACCTCGAAAAAAGTTATTTCCCATATTACAGTTGCATTGCATAGTTTCCGCATACATATGCGCACAAATTTGGTGACGGAATTGTAAATACAAAGAATCAAAATATGTATGTATATGTAAATACTATGAAAAATTGATTTTTAACATTTTTGAATATACATATGTATGTATAAGCATATGCTCAAATGAAGCATTCAAGAATACATTTATTGAAAAAAAATCAGCTCGAAGGCTGTCAACCTGGTGTTTTTTGACTAATGCAGTATTTAATTTGTGGTACATCGTAGGTTTATTGTAAAAACATAGGCCGGGTTAATTTTAAGAAAGGATTAGTTACTAACTAAAGTAGCTTAGAAGTATTGTCCAATATGTAAAATGTTGAGATAAAAACATAATTTTATTAGGACTAACATTGAAGTGACATTTTCAAAACTGCAGCAATACACAACAAGCTAAATAGTAAAAATAAAAACAAATACCCACAATCGACTTAACGGCGGAAACTGTTTTCAAATATGGCTTGCTACTGATCAATCAATTTTTGGGTATCGTTTCAAGCCTTTTAAAAACAGACATATATATCGCTACTTAAAGGTGAAAAGGAGCCAACCCCCTTTTCAAAATTTAGTATTTGATGCAGAATGTCAGATAATGCGAAACTACATCAATTTTTCGTCCTCCTGAACAATTTCAAAAATGGACATGGCACCTTATCATGTTTAGGTATCGATATTTGAAAACAGAATTAATAGCAATTAATAAACACATTTGCTTTTGTTTTTGATGTAAACTTTATGTTGTTTATTTGATTTATTGACTAATATATGTATTTTTTACCTACATATCTAAGTGAAAACTTAATTTTTTAAAAAGTTCCTACTAGGTCCAAAAACATATTTTTGCCAATTGTTACCAATACGAAAATTTTCCTTATCCAGAAAAGAATGAGCTACTGCAACTGTTATTTTTCCAAATGATTAACATTTTTGCGGGACACGAATGCATGCATGAAAAAACCGGCGACGAAGAAGAAAACAAATACAGAGCCCCTAAATATGTTTGAATAAAATATAAGCATATATAAAAACATAAATAAAAATCAAAATGCCATCCTGTGCATTTTAAAGCAGCGTTTTTCTGTTTGTTCCGGTTTTAGTTAAGTTAACTGCACCTTTTTCTGTTTTGTTTTGATTCTAATTTTCTTTAATTTTTTTCATTTCTATTTTGTTCGCCGTATTAAGAAAAATAATGTATAAATAAAATATGTTTCAATATATTCTTTCATATTTGAACGAAACTTGAACCTTCAACAACAATACATATGTATGTATGTGCGTTACGTTATACTGCATCTCAAAGCAGGGTTGCTATCCAGTAAGTACGAAGACCCGGCAATCGCACTCTCTTACGCCACTGTGCGTTTCCCTTAAGTCACCAAATTTTTAATGTACTTATGCTTGCTGTATTTGTACTGATGTAGTTTCCGCCTCATAGTAACGCACGATTCCAGTAACTATGGCCTAACAATTAGAGATTCATCAATCATCAAACCTAACTAGAACCGGTTGTAGCAAAAGTCGATATTTGTGGCGAACGTACATATGTACGTGTCCTTAAGTGATATTTCGATGTAGACATTGGCATGCATATTTGCTTAAAAGTTTTTCTACAGTTTAAAGACCATGCCATTAATGGAGATGTTAAATGGAATGAAGTTGTAGGGAACTGTTTTAAAATTCAGAAATGAAGTACAATCGGACAAACCGAAATTGAACGGCGCACAGTGTTTTTTTTTCGGGTTTGAGTGATCAATAATCTATAACTTTTAACAGGCTTAAATTTCTTCTCGTTTTTTTGTGCTGTTAAGTAGAAAACTGTCTATTGATAGCGATAACAAAAATTTTACCTTCAAAAGTTACCCCAAATATAAAAAATATAACAAATTATATTTACATATATATGTTGCCAAATCTCTTAGATCAAAAAAACTTATTATTTTATCGGAAGAGACTTATGGATTTATCTATAGCAGTAAAAAATAAATAAAAAAAATAGACTTTGTAAACTGACCCTAAAAATAATTTAACATGATACAATTTTTATCCAAACTTCAAGATCTTCGAAAATGTAATTTTTTTGCATTGCAAGGTTTCATGTGACTATCGTTAAATTAATGAAAATTGTTGATCAGATTAAAATTTTTTATTACGTTTTAAATTTTACCATGTAAAATCGGGGCACCGAAATTGCGCATATGGAAACTGTGCATTTAGACATTATTTCGGTTTCAACCGAAACTGTGCATGTCTGCTTTATTTCGGTTTTTACCATATGCATTATTTCGCTTTTAAACCGAAACTGTGCATGTATGCATTACTTCGTTTTTTTTTATATGCATTATTTCGCTTTTAAAACGAAAGTATGCACATGCATAATTTCGGTATTTTCTCATATGCATTATATCGGTTTTCAACCAAAACTGTGCATGTATGCATTACTTCGGGTTTTTCATATGCATTATTTCGGTTTTCAACCGAAACTGTGCATGCATGCATTATTTCGGTTTTTGTTATATGCATTATTTCGGTTTTCAACCGAAACTGTGCATGTATGCATACCTTCGTCTTTCACATATGCATTATTTCGGTTTTCATCCGAAACTGTGCATGTATGCTTTATTTCGGTTTTTGCCATATGCATTATTTCGGTTTTGAACTGAAATTGTGCATGCATGCATTATTTCGGTTTTTGTTATATGCATTATTTCGGTTTTCTAACGAAAGTGTGCATATGGATAATTTCGTTTTTTCTAATATGAATTATTTACTTCTACTTAGCAAGGGTTTTAATCCCTAAGCGCGGCTGAAAGCCGCCTACGCAGAAAGAAGTTATGCGCAAAAGTACTTCCGGCCCCCTTTTCCGGCAACACAGAAAGGAGAATTCTACTT